CTCTTGCTTAGGACCCAGACTCAAAATCTAAAACGCTGGCAGGAGCCAGAGATGAACTCAGGCTGGAGGTCCGGTCTGGGGCCATCTCTGGGCGTCCAGTACCAGACCACCAGACATAGTCCCGCCCACACTTCACCCCCCGAATGCCCGCTATAGGCGTTCTAGGGGTGGGGTGCTGCTGCCCCCAACACCCGCCCTCCCAGTTCTCCGGGGCTGGAGAAGCTGGGCAGGGCGGGGCTTCACCAGAAGGGATGGGGCTGGAGGTGGGGTTGGAGCCTCCACCAACCACCCTGTTTGCAAAGGAGACACAAAACCATCGCCATTGGGAAGCGAGAGAGGGCTTGGGAGGATTTACCCAAGCCATGTCTTGTGAGGTACAGAGAGAAGCACTGTAGAAACACTTTAACTCCAAGACCCTATTTGCATCCTGGCCTCATTCAAATGCGTCCCCTGGCACCCCATCGATGACACAGTAGCTAAAACGCCAGTAGCTGGTCTGCAGAAATCCTCTTGCAAGCCCACGCCAGGGGTAGGTTTTAAGAACAAAGCTGAGATAGTCATGGCCTATGTAGGACTGCAGTGGATTTACATCTCAGGGATTCACATTTACAGCTCTACAGCCCCTTATTTGGGGATCCGGAATCAAGGCCAGGAGAAACTAGCAATCACGTACTAGCATGTGGGGCTGACCCTCATCACTGTCGCCTGCTTTCTCTCTACAAGCTGCCAGCTCTTTTCAGGGGGCTTACCTCAGACCACTCAGACATTTCCCACTGAGGCCCACACGCTGGGTTCTTGCAGATTTTGCGTTCGTCCGGCCGGGTAATATCGGCAGATTCACACAGATCGCTGTAGACAGAGCTGTCAAAACCAGGAGAGATCATCTTCCAGCATCGGACGATGCGAAACTGGTACCCTTCCCCGCAGGTCCGGGAACACTCACTCCAGCTACTCGTCTCCCACCTGCCAGGAAGAGAGAGAGAGAGAGATTCCAACTGGAGTATTCACATTCTGACTGGGAGACGCGCAGTAGGTCTGAGCTTAATAGTGTGTTAGGAAAGCAGTATTATATGATGGTTACCAGAGCTCACCAAAGGTTCTTCAAGGCTATTTTAGTGACTTCTTCCATGCAATAGGCACATTCTGTAACAGGGCTGCAAATGTCTCAGCTGTATCCATACAAGGTAGGATTAGGTGATGCTGTGCATCCATCTCCTAATATTTCACCCTGGAGTCCTGAGTTCACAGGGACTGTAAGATGCACAAACACTACCACAACAAACACCACCTCAAAACCTTTAGCCCTGGTCTACACTAGGGCTTTATTTCAAAATAATCCCCCTTAGGTCAAATTTATAAGCAGAGCGTCCATGCCACCAAGCCAATTATTCTGAAATAACAGGCCACTTCATTCGAAATCTGTACTCCGGCTTTTCATCAGGACTAATGCTAATTCTTAAATAGTTACTTCAAAATTGCGGTAGTGAGGATGCTCCAGTGCCGCTATTTTGAAATAACCAGACCCCAGAGTAATTCCAACTAATTACGCCCTAGTGCTTTCTAGGGCTCTAAGTCCAAGTTAGTGCATCCACATTAATGGAGCCTGCCTCAGACTCATTTCAAGGCTTCCCCGTAGTGAGGACATGCTATTTTGAATTTGTTAACTTGGGAATGATTAAATCAAATTTAGTAATTTTGAAATCATTTCCTAATGTAGACGTGGTCTTAGAGAGCCAGGCAGTACCACGTGAAGATGACCAATGTGGTCTCAGTCTCACCCTAAAAGGACACAAAACGTTTCCACACACTTGGCTAGTTCGGAAGTTGGAAGGGAAACCCGTTACTGTTGTGGACCAATGCATCCATAGGCAAGCGTGTGTATTCCCCACATACACCCACCATTGATATCATCGCCTTCAAAAGCACCAATAATTGCCCCAAGCTGAAAGAAAATCATATATATAGTAGCCCAGTGTCTGAGAGTCTGTAATGCTGAAATACTGGCTGTTCCCTCTGGGGGGCGTTGTTGCCTCCCTGGCTGTTCCCTCTGGGCAACGCTATTGCCTGAGTCACGTACTTCGCCTCCTGCCATGGCGCTTGGCTGACTTCTGCGCCGCTCAGCCAGGCCGCCGCGTGGGAGCAAGTGGTGCAAGCAACTGTTTGGGCTCTGCGGTCCCCTAAGTGAGAGGCAGGAGGGGGAGGAGAAGAGAAAGAAAGAGACAGAGAGAGAGGCAGGAGGTGGAGGAGAGCTGAGACAGAGAGACGGGGAGACAGTAGGAGGGGGGAGAGAGAGAGAGAGAGACGGAGCTGGAGCGAGAGACCGGAGGCTCAAGAGAGAAGACTGACATGGAGTAGAGACCTGAAAATCCTCTCTTATGATGGGCTAATTGGCTAGTATTTGAAGAAATGTCAAAAACGGGAGAAATAAACCGATCACAAACCTCATTATTAAACAAGCCTTGAGATTTCTCTCTGGAAGGCAATAGGAGGTGGAGAGAACACAGACTCTCTTATTTTGCCGTGGGGTACACTTAGAAGAGCTGCCTAGGTTACATGCTCCCTTACCTGCTATCAGACACGACCTTTACGGTTTTCAAAAGCTACCATAGGCCTAATGCATTTACCTCAGTTTTAACTCCACTGACTTCAGAAGTCAGTGCCTGGCTAATCTGTTTGATTGGCTACATAGACACACGCACAAAACAGCACCAAGCAATGAGTATAGCACCACTGTGGTGCTGCAGGTATTCTGACGAAACCTGCTCTGCTTTGCACATAAACATCTATCCATTAGGAAAGTGGGGGGAATAGAAGTGACTCTTGAGCAGTGACTTTCAACTGATGGCTCACAGTCCCTGGGGCAGAGGGTCAGGAAGGCAACCAGGTCGTCACATGGTATTGGAAACGTGCTCTTCTCCCCCCACGCACCTGCGCACACACCCACACGCCCCATTATTGCTCAAGATCAAGAATTTTCCTTCAGCCTCTTGAATCACACACGCAAAGTAATTGTCTGGGCTCAACATTTGTACTCTGCTTTTATCATAAATGTTGATAGGGTTGCAAAAAGGTTTGACTTCCAATAAGAATGGCCAATCTGAAAAAGTCAAGCAATATGGATCTAGCACATGGAAGTCACCTAGCAAACAAGTCACCATGCTTGGTGCACACTCTAGGGGTCACACTTTTGCTTCAGGACATAAGCTCCAAAAAAGAATTTGGATGCCATGAGCAGAGAAGTTCTAGACTCTGCACACTTAGGCCTTGTCTAAATTTACCCAGAGATTGACAGTCTGGAGATTGATCTTCCAGGCATTCAATTTAGTGGGTCTAATAAGGACCTGCTCAATCGAACGCTGACAGTGCCCCTGTTGACCCCAGTTCTCCATAGGGCCACAAGGAGTAAGGGAAGGTGATGGGAGAGTTTCTCACATTGACCTGCAGTGAGGCCACTGGAGAAATTCAGTTTAAGGTACTTCGACTCCAGCTGCATTAGTCTCATAGCTGAAGTTGTGTATCTTAAATCAAATTTCTCCCCCAGTGTAGACCTGGCCTTAGCAGTGCCACCCATATGCAGAGGAGACACTGAACCATTTAGAAAGACATGGGCACAGTAGGGTGGGTAAACATGACCTCAACATCTCAAGTCCAGAGAGGTTTTTCCCTGGAAAAGGGGAGCGTACTCCCTGTATTCCTCTTCAAATACAACAAACCCAGCAACAAATGTCAAAATGTTTCCCTGGAAAAGGGGAGCGTACTCCCACATTCCCTAACAGCCACCTACTCTTCAAATACAATAAACCCAGCAACAAATGTCAAAATACTAAACTTCCCCTTTTGATGTATATGCAGACCTCTGACACTGCTCTGGACTGGTTTTGTGCTGTTAGAGCAACAAGGCACTATTACGGAATGTGCATCATATAATTTTGCTCCTTTTCACTTTGTGCCAGCTATAGCACAACAAATATCATTTATTTCCCTGCCTCTTTTAGCCCTTTTCCCTTTGGGAGGCACTGATCTATCCCACCTATAACTTATGTTTCCAGTGAAACTAGAAAAGAACAAACCTTTTTTTAAAATTGTAATTTGAGATGGACCTAAGCCATGAAGTTTGAATCTGGATCGGAATCTCAGCTTCCCCACAACAGAAAGATCTTTGGATTTGGGGTCCATTGTAGAGGCAGATCCAAACCATGTAGTTCATATCTAGAGTCTGAACTTTCCCAAAGTTTGAAGACTCAAACCTTAGGGCTGTGTCTACACTGGCGTGATCTTGCACCAAAGCAGCCGCTTTTGTGCAAAAACATGCTTCCTGTCTACACTGGCGGGGAGTTCTTGCACAAGAACACTGACGTTCTAATCTGTGAAATCAGTGCTTCTTGCACAAGAACTATGATGCTCCCGCTCAGGAATAAGCCCTCTTGTGCAACTGTTATTGCGCAAGAGGCCAGTGTAGACAGGCAACATGAATTTCTTGCGCAAGAAAGCCCGATGGCTAAAATGGCTATTGGAGCTTTCTTGAGCAAGAGAGTGCTTACACTGGTACGGATGCTCTTGCACAAAAGCACATCTGTTGCGCAAAGGCACATGCCAGCGTAGATGTAGCCTAGAGATTTTATATGAACTGAATGCTGCTGTATTTCATTGTGCATTAGCATGATCGCTGATGCTAGCAAAGCTCTGGTCATGTAAACTTGTTGGCCAGTCTCAGAGGGATAGCTGCGTTAGTCTGTAACTTTAAAAACGAGTAGTCCTGTGGCACCTTAGAGACTAACAAAAATATATATGTATGGTATTGTGAGCTTTTGAGGGCAAAACCCACTTCATTAGATGAGCTGGAATGGAAACAACAGAAATCCAGAATTTATAACAGAAAAAGAAGGGGGGGGAGAGGAAAGGTGTCTGTCAATTGTAAGACTGGTTATTGGCCAAAGTACCTTCTCCTTACAAGAGTGAAGAGTCTAGGTAATACATCAACAGTAGCTATTGTTTGGGAGCAAGAATGAGTCCTTCCCAGCCAATCAACCATGTCACCTCAGAGGCAAGAACTCAGGTACAGGAAGGTTGACCCATCCCCTCACAAATGCCAATACTCCAAGGGTCAATAAACCATGTTTCAACCTAATTCACCATGATTCATCTGCCTCTGGCCAGTGAGTTCTCCTTCTCCCCCTTTTGCTGGTCTGGCGAGGAGATAGCCTTTGTAATTAGAGATGGACCAAACCAAACTCCAGATACAAACATCTGACCAACAGAACAAAGAACAATGGTCTCAAGTTGCAGTGGGGGAGGTCTAGGTTGGATATTAGGAAAAACTATTTCACTAGGGATACGTCTACACTGCACACTTATTTTGGAATAAGCTATTCCGGAAGAAATACTCCAAAATAGCTTATTTCAAAACATTACATCTACTCTACAGGGAAGCCTTGAAATTAGTCCAAGGAAGGCTCCCCTAATGTGGACGTGCTACCTCGATTTAGGAAATAGGAGTAATTACTTCGAATGACCCTGGGGGAGGAGCTATTTTGAAATAGCAGCAATGGCGCGTCCACACTACAGCTATTTCAAAATAGCTATTTCAGAATAGTCATTATTCCTCATGAAATGAGGTTTACAGAAGACAGAATAAGATATCTATTATTTCAAAATGATTTTGAAACAACGGAATTGCTGTGTAGATGCTCGAATTGTTATTTCGCAATAATGTCAGCTATTTGTGTAGATGCTCGAATTGTTATTTCGCAGTAATGTCAGCTATTTCAAAATAGTGCTGCTGTGTAGACGTACCCTAGGGGTACGTCTACACTACGGAGTTTTTTTGTAAAAATGCCAGTTTTTCTGAATGGCAGTTTTTCTGAAAAAACTTCAACCACGTCCACACTGCAATCGTGTTCTTCTGAAAAAAAAAAACCCCCGAAAGTCCACACTGCAATCGTGTTTTTTTGAAAAAAAAAAAAAACCCAAAAGAATTAAGGGGTTTTTCCAACATTGGTAAACCTCTTTCTATGAAGAAGAAGTCTTTTTCCGAAAGAGCTCTTTAGGAAAAAAACGTGCGTGGATGGGGAAGAGGGAGTTTCTTCACAAGGAGCATGTCTTCACAAGGGAGTTTCTTCACAAGGAGCATGTCGAGAGAGGAATGCAAATGCAGGCGAGCGAAATTGCAAATGAAGAGCGGATTTGAATTTCCCGTGCTTAATTTGCATAATCGCGGCTGGCTGCTTTTTCAAAATACCCTAATTTGAGATAAAAAATGCTGTTTAGATGCGGTTATTTTAAGAAAAAAACCCTTCTTTCAAAATAACTCTTAAGCCTCATTTTTAAAGGAGTAAGGTTATTTTGAAAGAAGAGTTTTTTTCAAAATAATCCCATCTAGACTGTATTTTTTCTTTCAAAATAGGGTATTTCAAAAAAGCTCCCAGACGCAATTACAGATGAAGCGCGGGAATTTCAAATCTACGCTTCATTTGCAATTTCGCTCGCCTGCATTTGCATTCCTCCCTAGAAAGAGGAATGCAGTGTAGCCATACCCCTTAAGAAGAGGAGGGAGGAAAAAGCACAGGTGCCCTGATGGCCACTCCATCCATAGTAATCTCAACTTACATGCAAGACAGTGTCCATTCAGTGGGGATGCAATCTGCTGAAAAAGCAGATCATTTTTTCGATGCGCTTTTGCAGTGCGGATGCTCTCTTTTGGAAGAAGTATTTTCAGAAGATCTCTTCCGGAAAAGTTTCTTCCAAAAGAAGCCTGCAGTCTAAACATAGCCTAGAAGGGTGGGGAAGCACTGGAATGGGTTCCCTAGGGCTATAGTGGAATCTTCATCCCTAGAGGTTTTTAAGTCCCGGCTTGACAAAGCCTGGCTGGGTGGATTTAGTTGGGGTTGGTCCTGCTTTGGGCAGGGGGCTGGACTCGATGGCCTCTTGAGGTCTCTTCCAACCCTACGATTTTATGATTCTATGATCTCAGGAACTTTGCAGGAGTTCTGAACCTGGTGGCTTGTGCCCATCAGTGCTTGGTACTTAGAAGAAAATCCCCGCCAGCTCGAAATAACACTAAAGACGACAAAATGCATAGCCCCGTGACGAACTCCTTACTGAGATAGTACCTTGGCTGGCATTCTCTTCCAGCACAGAACTCATGGACAGGTTCGGGACGGGTCATGGCATCACAGTACGTATCATCCACTTCGATCCCATCATAACGAACACACATTGCATATGTAGACATCACTCCTATTTTTAAAAAGAATACACACACACAAAATGCATGCTTGGTGATTTTGACACTCACTCTGTTTGTGAGCTGAACGTTCCAAAATTTCTTTCCAAATTAAAATGGAAAGAGCATAACCTGAGCTGACAGTCATTAGGGATGCTGGTGGCAGAAAGGGGATGAGTCGGGGGGAGTGGAGCAATGGAAAATCCTTCCTGCCTGTATGAAGCAGGGTGGCCAGGGCTGGTGATGGACTTTGCCAGGCTGTGGGCAAATGAGAGAGGGCTCAACTCTGGGGCCCTGGAAAGGGGTGGGGCCTCAGCTGAAAGGGGTGGGGCTAGGAGCATCCAGCCTTCAGTGCCACTCAGACTACCCTGTGCCTCCATGAGCCAGCCCATCATTTTAAATTGCTGGACCCCAGGGAAACTGCCCTCTTTGCCTCATCCCACCCCCATCGATAGCCCTGAGGGACACCTGGGCTAGCACACGTTGAAGTTCTCCTTCATGCTGCTGCAAGGTAGAACAACGTGACATCCCAACCAGGACTTTCTACCAAGCCTAGAGGTTGAGAGGTCTCCTCATCCCGCCAAGGGCCAGCACGCATGTTAGCAGGGTCCCTCATCCTGAATCTCAAAGGAGGTTTAGATTCTTATTTTGCTCTCCTCTTGTGCGGGTGCACCAAGGGGCGTTCTCACCTCCCCCTCTCCACCCAGTACATCCACACAATGCGTGTCACAATTGTGCCTTACTGCCTGCAGGATGGATACACTGCATTCCACCTTGCATTGATTTTTACATGCTATTAAAAAAGAACCTGTCCTTCCTCCTCTGTTTGAAGCACAGAAAGCAGAATGTCCTGTTGCTGGGATTTATTTCCCTGCAGCCTTGTTTGCCAGAATAAATCTTGTTCTGTTCTTTCTGGGACATGGCTTGGGACCAAGAGACCCGTCTGACTTACAGGTACCAACAATTCCAGCTCTCCCAGCCAAGTTTCTGAAACACAAGGTTGCATGAAACTAAGACCTACCAACTCCCGACACTGCATTCCTCTGCAACAGTCCAGTAGAAAAAGGTGAGGAGTGGTTTGGATAGGACATTCGCCACTGGCTACAGTTTGGGTCAGGTCAAAAGTCTGCCTCGGCTAAGGGGCGGCCTTTCAATCGGGATCAGAGAGCTCAAGATGATACTCAAACTTTGTGGGTTCCAGGATTTTGAACTAAGGAATAGTTGTCAATGTTTCTGGCCCATACACATTTTGTGGCAAGGCCAGCAGGACAAGCCAACAGTTCCGGCATGCCTACAAAAAGATCTGTGCACTCATTCCCTTAAAAAAGTTTCCTTCCTAAGATTTTATTAATTCCCCCATAATTCCAGAAGCAATAAAGCATCTGGTTTATTTTGACTACTGTGCGAGTTGTAAAATGATACTGGCAAACCCACGATCTGATGATCATTCTACATGCATCTTTTAAGACAAGTCATGGATTTGTCATGGGCCAGATTTCTTAGATGCATTGCCCTGCTCTGATCAATGAAACACGGAGATTGGGTCATTTGAAATGTGCCCTGAGAGGGAAATAGGGGGAAAGATGGTTGGCACATTCTGATCTCACGGATCTCAATGGAATTACTCCAGATATATCCTGAGAACAGACTCTGGATCAGGAAAGAGAGAAACAAAACAAATGCAAACAACACATGTTATTTTGTTTCCTGCCAGAGCTGTACAGTTGAGTGTTAAAGTTTAAAAAGGAAAAAAAAGATGCCGGCTTCATGGGCTCCATTGGCTCAGTGACTCAAGTTCAAGTTTGCTAAAACTTGGTGCAAAAGCTTTAGAATCCTGCAGGGTCCTGTATCCCAGTGTAGCCCTGCAGGGCTAGTAAATTAAGAAAACATTAACCAGTCCTTAAAAGGGAACTTTAAAAAAAATACTGATCTTTCCCACAAACACCGTGTGGTACAGCCTCTGCCTGCATCTGTTCAGAAGGGTAAGAAGTGCATGGAAGTGGCAATTTGCAAGGAATGATCTGGTAGTGGAGTGGAGATGGGTACAATCTTCAAAAATCCCTAAGGCCTAGGATACACTAGGATCTTAGTCTGAAATTAGTCCCCCAAGATCAAATCTGTAAGCGATGCGTCCACACTACCAAGCCCGCTGTTTCAGAAGAAGGGGCTGTGGAATTCAAACTTTGCAGCCCTGCATTTCATGCGGAATAATGCTGTTCCCAAACTTGTAAGTCCAAAATAACATTATTGTGGATGCTCCAGTGCTGCTATTTTGAACTTACTCGCCAGGGGCCTCCCACAATTCCCCAGAGTGCTTCACAGGCTCCGAGTCCAAGGAAGCGTGCCCACATTAATGGAGCCTGCCTTGGACTACATTCGATTCTTCCCCGTAATGAGGACACAGAACTTTGAATTTGTAAAATCGGGTGCCCAGAAGTTGAATTTAGTAAATTCGGACTAATCTCCTAGTGTAGACATGGCCCCAGTGGGTGTCAATGGGAATTAGGCTCTTATGTCACAGATGCTCTTTTGAGACATAGATCTGGTTCCTAACAGTGATACTGGGTCTGATTTTCCCCTTCCCTGCATTTATACCTCTGCAGAGTGAACTAAAATACTCTCGAGTCAGAAAGGGGCTCCCCATGGACACAGGGTTCCTCTGCATAGATCTGATTGCAGGATGTGGACTTTAATGGCTCAAGCCAGTTCCACATGGAGTCTGATCCAAAGGCCATTCACGCCAGTGGGCTTAGATGCAGCCCCTACACGTTACCAGGTCCTCCCCGTCTCTAACAAACATAAAAGCGACTCACACAGCAGGTGATCTCAGTACTTCTGTAGAGGTTGGACTGGGCTGCTTCTTATAACTACCTGTCGTGCATGTAGAGCTGCAGGGTTCGTGGGAGGAAAGTTTCCACCTGTACATGTCAGCAGCACTCACACCTTGGCCCTTTCTTAACAACTTCAATCTGTTTCTAGCAACAAGCAAAAAAAAAAAAAAGTATTTACAAGGAGAGCCTCAACACATCACAGCAAACACTCAAACTGCCTTGGTTGCGGTTGGGTTGGGTTTGGGGGGTATTTTGTTTCGGTTCAGGGGGGTTTGTTTGGCTTGGTTGGTTGTTTTTTTTTTTTTTACAACATACCTGTCCTGATCCCCAAGTAGAATCCCCAGCCTGGTTAGAGACAGAGCTTCCACTGTCTAGAAATAGAGAGAATGGGATAAAAATACCCACAAGTAGAAACAGTTCAGAATTTCACAAAGTTTGCATTTTCTGCTCAAATACACCTGACCCTGAACATACCATACTGAAAGGTGCAGTATATCCTTCCTAGTGATATCAGCATGAAATAAAATATGCCACGTTAATTGCTGCTGCTGCGAGCTGGCACCACAAACATGCCCTACACAGGCATGAGATTTTCAAATCCTACACGCTTACTGGTTTTGAAAATCTAAAGGCTGAAGACAACTTTGCTCAGACCAAACAAAGCTTGGTTTTTAAACATACAAGCAACCCAAGAGCATTTTTGCCCCTATGTTCCTCTTGCTAGATTATTTATAGTATGTACATCTCTTAGGACACTAGAGTCACAAATGTAATGCCATTGGCTGAGGAATTATGAATATATCTTGCTATATATACAAGCATTTACAAATCAAGAATCACAACTTCATTGTATAGGTATGTAAAGTAACATGATAATGTACCAGGGATACTGCACCTTTACAACAAGAAAATCTTAAATACTGCCCTCATAGCTTTGTTTAAACTCTCAAAATTGCTCTAGTGTTTTAAAATCATATATACAGTTCTATCCTGATATCCAGCTGTCTTGGGCCTAGCAAAACATGCAGTTTGTGTGATTTCTAGGCAGCAGAAGCTCTGAAATTGCCTTATTTATGCATTCATAAGAAAAGTTCACGTCCATTCTGTCACATAAAAGCTTTAAAAGGACACTGTTGAGCGTTTTTATAGTTTCCCTTTCAGACATACCCTTCCATTGTTAGTCATGACCTCTTAGAAGAATTTAAAACAATCTCATTTTCCCCGTTGATTTTGCCTCTGTCATTTTGGCAAACAGTTGCTTCCTGTGTTTGAAATGGAGCTGAAATTAACATGGCTATTTTTGTTTAAAAATCACAATCTTGGCTCGCTATAAATAGCGCTTTATCTCGCCCAAACAGCTTTGATTGTGGACCAGCATCAGCCATTGATGTCAACGCACTCCCAACACTGCCTTCTCACTAACTACTGCTGTCAAGCCAGCAGAAGGGGCACAAAATGATGATCTTCTGTGAGCCCCATAAAAATGGTCGTCAGCCTCTGTTCTGTCTAACGAAACAACAAGAAGTCCTATGGCACTTTATTTATGCTTGCCTCTGTATTTTCCACTTCATGCATCTAACAAAATAGGTTTTTACCCATGAAAGTTTATGCCCAAATAAATCTGGTTTAGGCTACGTCTACACTGCACAGTTATTTCGGAATAAGCTATTCCGGAATAGTTATTCTGTAATAGCTTATTTTGAAATAGAACGTCTACACTCTAGGGAAGTCTCAAAATTAGTTCGAGGCAGGATCCCTTGATGTAAACGTGCGTTGGATGATTTTAATTAGTTCGAGGCAGGATCCCTTGATATAAACGTGCTATCTCGATTTAGAGTCCCAGGAGGAATAATTTAGAATGACCCTGGTGAGGGGCTATTTCAAAATAGCAGAAGTGGAGCGTCTACACACGCCTTATTTCAAAATAGCTCTTTTGGAAGAGGCATTATCTTCGTAGAATGAGGTTTACAGAAGTCGGAATAAGCCGCTTGTTATTTCAAAATTATTTCAAAATAATGGAACAATGCTGTGCAGACACTCGCATAGGTATTTCAGAATAATGGCCTTTATTACAAAATAACTTTGCTGTATAGATGCACCCTAAGACTTTAAGGTGCCATAGGACTCCACAGATACAGGCTAACACAAGGATCCCTCTGAGACTTGTTCTTTTTAAGGTTTTAAAATGTATCTGGAGAAAGATAACACTGTCTATATACTTCAGGTCATAGTTTCTTCTCAGTCACATCTGTGCATTTCCAAAATAACTCCTATGACTAGGACCCCTGTGAGTTTTCACACGTCACTGAATTCATTGACTTCAAAAGGGTTACTCTAGACCAAAATGGAAAAACTGAATGAAGCATTTGATCATTGGAATATGTATGACATTACTCCCTTCTTCCTAATCCTCCTCCTGCACACACACACACGCATGCTCGCACACACAAATTTCGAGTTTAATCCCTCCTCAGCAGTGTCCCTTTAACGTATGTGATCTGAACTCAAAGAGCTTCTTCTATCAGTAATGATGTTACCGAAACAACTTGTGGATAAATTAGACATCTCGCCATATGGTAACAGTTAGTTCTCATCCCATTGAGAGCACAGACATAACCATGGTTTGGTTTTCTTCTAAATGCAAACAGCAGTGAGTTGTTACACAACCAGGCTGGGCTTTTTAAAATGATGATTAGTATGGGTTGCTCTAAGGTCACCCATTTTCCTCCCCCTCCGGGCTTTTGTGTCCACATTTCTAAAGCAAGCAAACAACAACAAAAATTCACCCCGCCCCGTTTCAGCAACAGGCTAGGCGCGCCCGTAGTGGCTTTATACAGAACGGCTTTCCTGGCATCTCTTTCTGGCAGGAGCTACGATCCTGGAATCTGCTATTGTTTTGGCTGCCGGATTCAAGCAAGGGCCTTTGCAACAGAAGAATCACCCTAACACATACAAGGGACTGGAGAGGCTTCATATTCAAAGCACTTGGACTCATCTGGTTTGCTTTTTAGCCCAGATTTTTGCACCAAAGTGGGTGGCAAGCAGATTAGCCTCAGTAATCATTCCGATTTCACGGCATTTTGCATCTACTTTGCCCTTGCGGACTTGACTGCACAAGAAGCAGCTCAATGAGGATTCAGGCCCACGATGTTATCAGACAGCAATTATGGGTCTGATCGGGACCACCGACAGCAATACTAGGCCAGAGGGCAGAAATCACTGGACTCCCTCCTCCCTCCTTTGGTTGGAGCCACAAGGCCTGTTCCCGCCCCGCCCCCAGCCCTGTCTGGAGAAGCCCCAAATGTCCCCTGCCAGAGGAGCTTTGGGCCAGCCCAGCCCCATCCCCCACCTGCACTTTCCCTCCCTTCCCCACACACAGCCTCCCTGCTCTGGAGAAAGACATCTTGAGGTAAAGATGCTTTAGCCGCCCTGGAACCTGTACGGGGCATATCACAAGCCTCTTTGACTCAGAAGCAGAGCTACTGTGGCAGTGGTCCCCTGGGCCCAGTTAAATCACCCAGGTCCCTGGGCATTTATTCCCTTTACCCCACCCTATCAGCAGGCCTAGGTCTGGCCCCGCTGCCAGTGACGTCAGTGGGATAGGACCCATTGAGAATCAGACACCGGTGTATTTTATGGGTACACATGGATTAAGAGGGATTCGTTCCATATTTCGTTTTATCTTCTCCTCCAAAAGAAAACCAGAACAATAACGGGCCAAATTCTGCTCCCTGTTCCATCTGGGTGACCCTTTCAGCAGAGCGCAGAATTCAGGGCAAAAGTTGCCCCTGGGAAAATCCACAGAACCTGTGGTTTCTCTTGCAGACTTCACCAGGAAAAACGCGGGATTTTCACGTGTGTTGAAACCCTCATGCACTCAAGGAAGTTGTAGCTTTAACGTATTCACAGATGACGGTCAACACCAGAGGGAGCCTGGATTTACCTGCACCAGCTAACACCTAGTAAAATGAGTTGTCTGATATATAGTTGACCATGTGGCCTAATGAACATATGAAAATACACTTTTTCCTGAGTGTAGGAGTTCCCTCCGCTTTGCTTTATCTGGAGAGTGGATTTCTCAACCCAGATGGAATTGGCAGAGGTCGCCACCCCCTAAGCCTGCAGATGAACCAAGATCTTGGGACAAACAAAGAGGGTGGGAGAGGACTTGCAAGGAACTTGTTGTCTGCCCAGTTGTTCTCCTGCTCCCTCCTCCTCCCTTCCTAAGCAAGCTAGGGCGTCATGCAATCCAGGAAACAAAACTCCCCTAAGGAGTCGTCAATACTAGGCCCACAGACTAGACATCCACCTGGATCTGCAGAGAGCCATGGCTATTTGCTTTCTCTTGTCACTGCCCCCTGCTGTGGAATTGTGGAGTGGCTTCCAATTGCCAGCAACCCTAAAGCGTAGCTGCTGATCTCCTTTCACTGCAGGTTTGGGGCCCACCCTTCCACATTCTGCTCCCACCTGTGCCAAGGGATGCACAGCTCCAGCAGTTTTACAACCCGAAACTTCCAATTTGCTTCCTGCCAGCTTTCCTCGGCCTCTCCAGAAACTGTTCCCATCAATCAGACTCTTTATCTGTGCAATCCACCCTCCTCCGGGCTGTAGATCTTTACAGTACACGATGTGCCAAGAGGCACTGGAGCGTAGTCTGGCCTTTTCTGGCAGCGCTCGCTCTCTCGCTCCCGCGGGTGCGCACACACACACACACCCCCGCATATGCACGCAGGCGCTATATTTGGAAGTGCAAGTGGCCGACTATGTTGTAAGTCCCCTGTGCACCACCACGCTGGAGAACAACGTTTCAGCGAAGTGCATAAAAAAAACGTAAAATGAAGCACACATCTCTTTGCACTGCTGGCACCCCGAGGAGAATGCTTCAGGCCAGCGGCTCAGCCGTGTTGATTCAGCACCATGCTGCCCTGGTGGCATAAAGCTGCCCTCCCCCAGCTTAACTGGGCCTTTGTGGCTCTTCTAAGCCAAACCCTCCACACCAGGCTGCCAGAACCCAAGGTGAGGCTCAGGCCCATGTGGCAAGGCTGTGACATTCCTATACACTGGCCTTAGGAGACCACTGGAAACTGGCACCATTTTGAGCAGTGGTGGGCAACCTGCAGCCTGAAGCCACTGAGATTCTAGATGAGGCCTGCGAGACATTTTGTTTTCTGCTGCCCGTGCGCAGGTTGCCAGATTCCAGCGAGGTGCAGGCCAGTAGCACACAACACTGATTGTGAGAGCCGGGCGCTCCCTCTGAAGCCAATCACAGCGCTGTGATGGTGCCATCCACCCACCCCGCACACTCTAGATATGCCAGCGCAGTGAGCAACACTGTCCTGTCCCGGGAACCGGTCTTAGTTACGACAATCTTGTCACCCACTGAGAGGTAGAAGGGCCACTCGTGTGGCCCACTCACAAGCCTAGGTTGTGGGCCAGTCCAGAGCAGAGACAGGCAAGAGCTAGTGGGGCAGGTGCAAACTACATCCTTCTACCTCCCAACTCCCAGGATGCACCATGAGGCCAGTCCAGAGCAGAGACAGGCAAGAACTAGTGGGGCGGGTGCAAACTACGTCCTTCTATCTCCCAACTCCCAGGATGCACCATGCGCAAGAAAAATCCTCTTGCACTGGAAATATGCAAATGAGGCTAAGCGTGGAATATTGCGGGATATAGCATAACTGCAAACAAGGCAGTGTGCTCATTAGAACAGGTGCCAGTTTTGTTACTGAGCGTTCTACAGTAAATTGTACTGTTTCTCTGTATTGTTAGCCCCAACGATAATTATTTAGTAGGGGAAGAAATGGCTGAAGATCCACAATTTATTCCTTACAGGGAATTCCTTTCCTAGTAAACTACTTAACAAGGGCAACTACATGTCCTTAAATCTCCCTTAATCCATGCCCTAACTGTACATGTAATTGTTAAATATATGCTATGCCTTGTTTAAAAACCAAAATCATTTCCTATTAGAGTCAGTAGGAAACACCAAGTCAAGTGTCTTCATGGTTCACGTCTGTGGTGAGGCAACTGCCCCACACTTGCTGGAAGGGGTTAAAGCAGGCTTGAGGAAGCCTTCACAGAGCCCTGGCCAATCAGAGAGAGGCTTTTAAGAAGCCAACCAGAGGGCAGATTGCTGGGGCAGGCCTGTATATAAGGACCTGCCCAACAGAGAGAGGCAGTTAGGTCCTGACTACCAAGAGTGAGGGATTAGCTCCCTGCAGGGAGGACCAAGGAGGTGCAGGGGTCACAGAGGAAGTGGCCCAGGGAACTAGGGGCAGTAAAAGGGAGCAGAGGAGGGCAGGACAAGGCTGCCATCAGAGGGTGTGTCTATTCTGCACGGTAGGTCGAAATAAAATATTCAACTTGAGCTACACAAATTGTGTATCTTGTTTCGATGTTACTTCGAAATAACTTAATTTTGAAATTTGGCGCAGTCTACGCAGCTCTTATTTTGAAATAAGCCGCTATTCCAAAACCTCCCATACTCCTCATGGAATGAGGTTTACAGAGACGTCAGAATAGCAAACTTGTTCTATTTCAAAATAACGTGCATGCTCAAAAGACCTCTGGTATCCCTAAATAGTGCTGCACTGTAGACGTAGCCAGGGGGCCTCTGAGCTGAGATCCAAAGTAGTGAGTGGGCCTGGGTCCCCCCCTTACTTTGCCACCAGGGTGTGGCCCATGCCGACTGTGGCTTGGAGGCCAGAGTGGCAGTAGAAACCCAGGATGGCTGACTCACCCCCAGAAAAGGGAAGAGAGGTCACTTTAGTGGGCACTGCCGGAGGGCAATATCCCGAAGAGGACACTGGTCTGGGAGCGACACGGGTTCCGACCAGGACCAGGGCTTGCCAGAGGCGCTAAAGAACTAATTCCCTAGAACCACCAGCCAGAGGCACAAAGGTGGTAAGTCCTGCTCTGTGACAACACCCCATATCTGACCTGGCTCAAAAGAAGCAGCTTGTAGGATTGGGGGGCGTTTTGTGTGTGTTCTTACTAAATACCAACTAACAACACTCCTCCTTCCGCAGTTAAACAAAAGAAACAAACCAGCCTATTTTTGTAGGACCTACACAAAAGCTCTTATCTTTCCTCCTCTGGCTCCGGGGCAATAGTTAACTCTCAGAGGTTATTTCCAGAAGCTCCAGACTGCACACTGCTGTTGACATCAGTGACCATGCTGGTGAGTGACTATCAACCACAAAGTACACAGAAAGGAGCCATCCCAACTTCTGCTGCATTAGAAATACAAGGAAAGGGGGAGCAGGGCGAAGTACGTGCTGGTCAAATAAGAGAACTCCAGATTAGTAGGAAAAGAGGCTTTATTAGGCTCAGTCCTCTAATGAGATGCTAGAACAGACAGAGAGCAATAAGCATGATCATAACTATAAAAATACACCGCCCAATGTCCCTTTAATGAGGACAGTGAATTTTCCTCTTGTTAAAGTTTCCATTCTTTTCCCTCCCCAGACCACATTGTGGAATTTTCCTTGCAAATTAACCTCTAGCCAAAACCTTTTGTGATGTCCTCCTCCCACTTACCTCACAGATCAAAACGTGGACCGCTCTAAGTGCCACGCAAAGAAGAGAACAGCACAGAAACAAACGGGACTGAAAGATTAAAAAAACCTCTCCCCTACCTTGCTTTGTGCGTTCTGTTTCCTTGGGGGCTGGTCAGGGTAATGGTAGCGTTGGAAAACGGCGTCTCTGAGGAAGCATTCATGATTTTGTCACTGCTGAGCTCCAGGTAGGTCCCATTGATGCTGTATGTCACCACCCCTTCGTTGTCCTCGTAGTCGACGTAAAGGCTGTCGATGTGGGACCCCACGGTGTGCATCGGGTCTCCTTGGGCGAAGATGCTGTTCATGGTCATGTTCCGAGCTAATTCCTTCGAGTCCGAGCTTTTATCCAGGAGCTTGTCGGTGATTGCGTTTTCTGACAGGAACTCCTTGGAGGCGAGTCTCGAGTCAAAGTCTCGGTCCTCTCTGTCTGTCAGGTAAGCAGACCTGGTTGTGTTTGAAGCTGGCGTGGTGCACATGGGGGGCAGGATGGAAAGAACAAACAATGCAAAATAAACTTAACATGGGAAATGGGAGAAGCAGAAAGGGGAGGGGCCTGAGAAGCTGCGATGAGGGGTAGCGGTGGTGGCCGGTAAGATCTGTGGCTGTAGCTTAGACTGTGTGTGGCACCCACAGGGCCTTATTCACACTGGAGGACAGGGAGTTCATAGCTGCCAGGCAGCGTTCCCCGTAAGATGGGCACTTGTGCAAACACTCAGGAGAGGCTCAAATGCTGCCCAGCTGATTGGCAGAGTGTCACCAGTGGTGCACATTCACACATGCCTCGGTGCACGTGAAAAATTATTCTGCACATGGGTGGGAAAGATTGGCGGGAACATTCCTGTCAGGTTCTGAGGAGCTTCTCCAGTTACATGGGTCACAGGAGCAAGCTGTTGTCCAGGGCAAAATGCAGTTTTGCTCTGTTCCCCACTACTGCACAACAGTGAGAACAGAGACTATGATTCAGCTCCCCGGTCCCACCACAACCAGGAGTGGGTGCTGGGATGGGTTAGGCGCTGGGGTAGTGGGAGTGCCATGGGGCAGTGTGGGTGGAGTGGGTGCTGGGGTAGCTGGAGGATCAGGCGGGGCTGGGTGGGAGGGGACTGGGTTGGGTGGGATCAGACTGGGTGAGTGTAAGGGGGCTGGGTGAGAGTGGGTTTGGTGGGGGATTCTAAGCAGGCATAGATATAGGTGCTGAGTGAAGGTGAGTTGGGTGGAGGAGGAGGGTTAGGAAGTCCTGGATCAGGTGAGTGTAGTGGGGTGCTAGGTGGAGGTGAGTTGGGTGGGAGGTGAAGGGAGCTGGTTTGCATGTAGGAAGCAGGGGTGCTGAGTGGGGCAAGTTGGGTGGGAATTTAGGGGTGCTGGATTGGGTGGGTGTAGGTGGGTGCTGGTTGGGTATAACAGGGTACAGGGATGAATTGGGTGGGTGTAGGGGGTTCTGGTTGGGTGTACAGAGTGCAGGGGTGAATTGGATGGGTACAAGGGTGAGTAGGGTGAGCGTAGGGGGTGTTGGTTGGGTGCATGGGGTGCAAGGGTGAGCTGGATGGGTACAGGGGTGAGCTGGGTGGGTGTAGGGGTTTCTGGCAGGGTGCATGGGGTGCAAGGGTGAGCTGGGTGGGTGCAGGGGTGAGTTGGGTGGGAGCAGGGGTTGCTGGGTGGGCACAGTGTGCAGGTAGGTAGGGGATGCCGGGGTGTTAGTTGGGTGGGAAGTGACAGGTACTGTGGGAAGAACCTAGTGCAGCTCCCTCTGAGCACCAGGACAAAGGAAACAGAAAGGCAGCCTGCAAAGCAAAAACCACTGTGGCCCCCTGCGGCAGGGGCATGCAACCGCCAGCCATCCTTCCAGCCCAGCCCTGCCAGAAACCCGGCCCCTCCAGGCAAAGAGAATGGCTAAGCAGAGACATTTGTACAAGCTCTCTGAGGATTCAAATAACAAACCAAGGAAGCAGAACTTGTTTCATCAAAAGCACCACAAAGCAGCATTGCAAGGCCAGCTCTCCCTCTTACCTTTGGGTTGTTTGCCCTTCAGTTTTGGTTCACAGTCAACGGCTTCTGATCGTTCATAAACTTCATTGGTTTCCTGACCTTTGCTCAAGTTCAGATCTTCCTCGGTGTCCTGCCTTCCAAAGACCTGGTTCTCCAAATGCACCCTTTCCCTGGAGAGTTTCCCAAAGTAGCTTGCATTGCGCTGGCTAAAACCGAGAGGTACTTCTCCGGCAAACTCTCTGCTTTCCTCGCTGTCTGATTCAGAAAAGGGGTAGTAGATGGGCTGGATCATTTTTGAATGAGGCTTACTTAGAAGAGTGTATTCAAATGTTATGGATGGATTCTTGCCATTTTGGTTCCATACCTAAGTGAAACAAATTAAATGACGTTTAGCCGAGAGGCAATGTATATTTGGCATCGACTTAGATATTTTAGCTTATTGTCTCAAAAGGGCCGCTGGTTAGTATCCGTTTATCCATTTTTAATGTGCCTGTTGCTGCATCGTTAGAGAACCAGTTCATGTCATCAGAGGGGCAGCTGTGGTCTGTTTCAGCAAAACCCAATGAGCAGGCCTGCGCCACCTATTCAGCAAAACCCAATGAGCAGGCCTGCAGCACCTAAAAGACTAACAATTTTATTTGGGCATCAGCGTTCGTGGGCTGGAACCCACTTCGTCCATTCATATCATGCATCTATTGTAACTGGCACGGCAGCAATTTATTTGGCAGTGTTCCCAGCTGATACACCACTAGATTGGCAAATATAGGTCCTAGCCATTGCTCTGCCACCGACTGGCCCCATGGACTTTGGCAAGTCACTTATCTGTTCTGCATTCACCCAGTCTGTTAAATGAAGATAATGATCTTTGCAATTGTCTTTTTTTCTTTCAAGTGCTTGGAGAACTTCACATGCAAAGTGAGGGGAAAGACATTTGCAATAATGAATCACAGTGGAAAAATGATCAGCCACTCACCAACAGTTGGCCAACAGAAAGCAAAGCTCGGTTTACCCAGTGAATTGTGTGCGGTGAGTTAGTCACTCAGCTCTTCTGGTCATTGTAAAACCCACTTCGGGAGGGGGGGAAGGGTTCACCCAAGTGAAGAGGGCAGTCATTGTAAAACCCACTTCGGGAGGGGGGGGGAAGGGTTCACCCATGTGAAGAGGGCTGGCACAAGGGCATTGCACCATTTAAAGTCTCATTTAAACCCCGAGGGGCTGAATTAAAAGCTGCACTCAAGCGTTACTCTTGATGATCTGGAAATGCCGTGCTGGAGAAAACGGTCCAAACTCCCACCATTATTTGCAGTCATATCCTGAAATAGTCAGGGACTTCCAATGTCTTCAATGTATAGGGAACCCAGGACAGAATTTGGCTTTGAGAGTGAAATTCACCCTGTAAAAAGGCCCAGGCACTATTTAATGGATGTTTGGCCTGTCTGCGGGCTCTCTGCCCACGGAGCAATTTCTTCCCTTCCCCTGCAATGGAACTAATAATGGCTGTAATATTGTGTTTTAAGAGTTGGACAGTTGTTTTGTTTAATGGCCCGGTTGTCTTTTAGGTTGACTGAGATACTGGTACTAAAGAGAAGAACAGACGAACTCTCCCCCGGCCCCCCGCAACATCCAGACTTGTCACCCATCCAAAACAGATCATGGAACAAAACAGCACTTATTCCTTAAAGCCAGATCTGCCTCCAAAAGCCTCCCCTGTTCTCTTCCTACTGGTGATGCAAATAAAACAATGTACTAGTCAGCATGGGGCCACGCTCACCCCCAAGGTATAATCTTTCCTGAACAGAGAAAAGGAAATTTTACAAATTCCTTAGAGGGCTGCCCAAATCATCAAATCAGCGTAACTCTCAGCTGTCCTGGACAATGGTGCTATTTGTGTCCCGAAATAGCTATTAAGCATCTTTAAACATGCCCGTTATTTTGAAATAGATTTTGAAATAACAGGCACTCGATCCCTGTAATCCTTGTTCCACACGAGGGTTAAGGGATGTTTCAGAATATTTCAAAATTAGATTGAAATAACATACGCAATTTGTGTAGTTCAAATTGCATATCTTATTTTGACCAATGGGTGCAGCGTAGATGCGCCCTTTGAGGGCTGCAATCAGCGACAGATATAGGGCAGGATGAGCGGGGCGGCTGCCCTGGGCACCACGCTTTAAGAGGCCCTGCGCATGCGCCGTTGCGCCATGGCACATGCGCCGTGTCAAAGGGGGAGCCCCGCAAAATTGTGCTGCCCTGGGCCCCGCAAAACCCTCATCCGCCCCTGGCTGCAATGCAAGATGCAAGTGGCAGGCAAGCCTCTCCCTGACTTACAAACCGGTTAAGGACTAAGCAATTGGTCGTAACTTGGTTTGTTCGTAAGTTGGACCCCATAGAGTTACACGCAACCGCGCTGTTCGTAAGCCCAGATCGCGTTCGTAACTCGGGGTCCGCCATTTACAACAGCTTCGGTCATAAATGCGAACAGTCGTAAGTCAACCGTTCGCAACTCGGGAACCGGCTGTACTTGTGTTTCTTCTCTCTGCAGCCTTACTGATCCAACACAGGGGGACAATCTGGCCCATATCAGTTCTGCTCTCTCTCCCCTCTCTCGGCTTGCCACATTCCGACTCCTCCCTTAGCTGCATTTTTGCCTCCGCTAGAAAACACAGTGGGGAAATGTCTGCAGGATCAGCAAAGAAGCCAGTCTGCAGGAGTGAGGTAGCTGCAGTCGTGGCCTGGGGAGAGGAATCCTACCTCCCAAGTCATGTGTACAATGTTCAAATTACGGAGGGAAAAAGGAGAGCCTTGACTGCCACATGGCTTGCTTTAACGTAATCACTTGTAACACGCAATGGAGCCATAAAAAGTCAGGGAGCCCCTAAAAGTAGGAAGGGGGCCACCTGTAATGTATTCACCACCTGTAAAGATCCCCAGCTTGTATCTCATCAACTGTGGCCGCATCCAAAGGATTTGACCACCGGTTAAGAAACACACAGGAGGAAAAAAACAGGAGGAGTCAGCATAATTGTTTTCTTCCTGCAATTTCTACCCCTACAAATATAAAAAGCTGGAGCACACCATTATATTCAAGCCTTGATTAGTTGGCCCCTGTGCGACGATATATTCTATGCCAGTCTCATAAACATCCATAGGCCTCCTGTACTTGAACACCGTGCCTGCAATGTTGAAGTTCTTTGGGCTGTCGACTTTGTAATTCCCATTGAAAAAATAGTATCCATCTTCATCGGCAACAGCTTAAAAAGACAGAGGGAAAGCAGGAAATCAGCTTCCTCTAATGCAAAAGGAATATGCAGTCACAGAAATGTTGGGTTGGAACAGACCTCAAGAGGTCCTCTACTCCAACTTCATGCTGAGGCAGGACCAAGTCTACCTAGACAATGCCTGACCAATGTTTATCTACCTTGTAATCTATTTCCTGTACTTAATTATCATTAGAGATAGAAATTTTTTTCTAATATATATCAAGTCTCAGAGGGGTAGCCATGTTAGGCTGTCACTTTATAAACAACGAGCAGTCCTGTGGCACCTTGGAGACTAACAAATGTATTAGGTCATGATCTTTCATGGATAAAACCTACCAAATCAGATGAGTTGGAGTGGAAATTACAGAGTCCAGCATACATATAACAGCAAAAGCAATTACCTGTCAATTGTAGGATCAGTGTTAATGAAGCTAATTAAGCCAGGTTGATGTGTCTCATTCATAGCATTTGATGTTGAGATGTGAATATCAAAGGCAGAGGAAATTCCCTTTGTAGTGTGTTAATCTGTTCAGATTTTTATTGAAGCCTAAATTGATAGTGTTGACAGGTAACTTCTTTTGCTGTTGTATATTGTTGTTTCTAATATCTAACCTAAATCTCCCTTGCTTCAGAATAAGTTGATTATGTCATTGCTATTTGTTTCTCATAAAAACTGCAAGTATTTTTATTTCCTAGATGCTGATAACACCTGGCATTTACTTATGTTATTACATTTGCTTTACAATAATATCCTAAAGCCTCATTAATATAATAAGGAACATAATAATAAATAATAATAATAATAATACATAATGAATAAAAGTGCTTTTCATCCACAGATCTCAAATTGCGTTACAAGTTCAGTGTCATTAATACCATAAGCTTCTTGCTACTTCGACTTTATTTCTACATCAGTATTTTGTGCACATCTGCGAGACTAAAAAAGCAGGGACTGTCATTTACTACATTTGTGCAGTGCCTTGCACAACAGGGCCCAATCTGGATGTGGCTTTTTGGCACTATCACAATATAGATGCTAAAATAACACAGGCTTCACCTGTTATGGACAAACTGGTTGGGTTTCAGGACTGTGCACCAGAAGTTCGAGTTTTTATAAAATGAAGATTATTCTTCTCTTAGCACATGGAAATCTTTCCATCTAAGCCATGTTGTAATAACCACAGAGCTTGAAGGCAGCATCAGAACTTGATACTCATTGAAGCATCTGTGTGAATCATTTGAGCAGAGTCAATTTGCTTACACCATCCAATTCCGGCACCTATCTGAAACCTGCATTCAGCCCTGGGCATTAGCCACGGTCCCCCAAGACATCAACAAGGCGATTATCTGAGTCATATTTTCTTTTTTCTGAGTGCTTGCTGTAGCCAATGCACTTTCTCTGAAATGCAGAAGTTCCATGGGCCCAAGAGAGAAATTAAAGTGCACGCAGAAATTATTTGAGAACCAGGACGCGCATCTGATACAATCCTCTGCCACAGTGACAATATACATTGTTCAACAGTTCAGAATTAAAGCAGCTAAAAGGTTGCACCAGTTGAAGATTTGGTCCATGTCTGCAAATGTATTACCAACAAATGCTTTTACTTGCAAAGAAAAGATGAATACATTCGCGCAACCACACATCCACTTACACAAACACTTTTTAGCTAAATACCAAGAGGTTATACACACCCAAAACATCTGCCGATTTTTTCCGTTCTACTATCTGGATATCTCTGGCTCCAGCCGGAATATGAGTTACCAAAGAATAGCCTATGGAAAACTATACATTAATGAAAGGTAAACTTTGTAACCAATAATATGAACAAAGATGAGTTCAAGAATCAAGAGTGGGCACTTTTCAGGTTTTTTGAACATTTGATCCTTTCCAATTACATCTTTTTTAAATGATAGACATCAATAACCATCATATTACTCATGATGTCCATCCATATAAGGGAGTTTTCCTGCTTCTTTTTCCAGGGGTGTAAACCTCCATAGCAGTAAACTAATGTTAACTTCATCAACTTCAATGGAGTGACCTCAGTCCAGTTGAAGATTTGGCCGTCAACTCTGAATAAGAATCTGTCTACACTGCAGTCAGAGGTGCGACTGCAGCACATGTCCTCCTCAAGCTATCTTTGGTCGAATCCGCTCCTAAAGAACGATGGCTGGGCAGGGACTCTGCCCATGTACGCTGCTGCATCTTCAGTGCTAGTAATAGAGAGGTAGCCGTGTTAGTCTGATCTTGCTAAAACAAAAGGAAAAACGATGTAGCACTTTAAAGACTAAAACAAAAGGATGTGTTTGAAACAAGATTTAAAACATCTTGTTAGTTTTTAAAGTGCTACATCGTTTTTCCTTTTGTTTTCTCTGCTAGTGTTATTCAAAATGATTAGATCAAAGCTGGGTGCTGCAGTCACATCTGGTTGCAGTGCAGACAGACCCAAAGGCACATTTCCTGCCTGGATCTTCCCACTCTGAGTTCTACATTAGAGGGGAAAGTTGCATCCAGATACATAATTCCAGCTACGTTAATTATGTAGTTGGAGTCCACATACCTTGATCTGAGTATCCCCACCATCCCCACAGTGGGAGGCCAACAGGACCAAACACTCCTGTCAGTTCCCCTTACTCCTCGCAAGAGCAGGAGTACCAGTGACTGGCAGGGGAGCCCTCTGAGTTCAATTTAGCGAGTCTTAACTAGATCCGCTAAATCAAACTCTGGAAGATCAAGCACAGGAATGTCAATCTTCCCTGGAGTGAAAACATGGCCATGAGACTGATCTTGACGATCTATTTTTAAACCAGCATCTATTTGCCTTATAATGAAACTCCAACATTGCAGTTTGCTTGAAGAAAAATACACACCCAAAACATCTGCCTATTGTTCATCCCATTTATATTTCTCATGCAATTAAATCAGAATAATGCTATTATCCAGTAAGAAGATTTACAGTTATACATACTAAGAAAAAGAAAATCAATTGTTTCTGAATATTATGGGGGGAGGGGTGTGACAAGGCTTACCTACCCTGCACTGCAGGACAAGGGGTTGCCTGGGCCCAGTTAGCTGGGAAGACCCCTCCCCCACTGCTGGGCATGCTCCCTGGGGTGACCCAGGAGCAGCTGCCACCGGAGCCACAGAAGCAGACCCAGGAGGAGTGGACCCGGGAGCAGCTGCCACCGGAGCCACAGCAGCCACAGGCCTTGGAGCAGCCGGACGGGCAGCCGCCGACACAGCCTCAGCGAGAGCCTCGGCCGGTGAGACGTCCCGCGGGGACCTCAACCCATCGTACTTCACTCCGGGGACCTGGGCTCCCCCAGGGTGGTCGGAAGGAGCCCAGGGCGGGGGGTTGCCCCTGCGGGCTTGGCACGTTGCGGGAGGGACCCCGCTGAGCTGGCCGTGCACCTTAAGGCTGCCCACAGGGCCCTGGGCTGGGACCCGGTGGAGCGGTAGGACTCAGGACCCCCTACCATCCCAATCTGACGGCAACCCTGCTCCCAGGCTGTTGGGAAGAGTCGTACCCTGTTAGGTCAATTGTACTCCAAGGAGGGAGCAGCATTTGGAACTAGGCCTCTCAGGCTGGATATACCCTAGTAGAGGGGACTCAGACTTTGGAGTAGGCCATAGAGGCCGTATACGTCTTGATAAAGTGGCCACTGCAGGGTCGAAGGACCGTAAATGCCCTGAGAGAGAAACAGGTTATTCGAGGCAGAGGTCCTCATAGAGACTCGTAATGTCGTGGGGGTACACAACCCCCCTGACAAGGGGATTATATCTTATGTAGAAATATCAAATATTGATCACTAGGGTTGCCATTTGCTGTACAGTTAGGGCAGCAGTTGCCCATCATAGACCTTGGTTTGTAACGCCACTCCAGACTATTCATAATCTGTACTTTGCACACACACACACCCCACACTGATTTTCCAAGCTATAATACAATGCCATGTAATGTTCTGCATGCTCACACGTCTTTACACAGTTCAGAATTCTTTTGAAAAGTCATCCCTGCTAAACCCTACTGTAGTCAGGATATTGGGCTAAATGAGCCAGTTATCTGACCCAGTATGAAAAACATCTCAGGTTCCTAGAATTATTTTCTTGAAATAGTCTGAAATAGCATCTTGAAAACAGCCTGAGTCATGACAAACTAAACCCTTGGGATATGGAAGAGGACACGGAGAAAGAAGATCAGAAGGGGGAAAGCCTCAAAAATATTAGGCATAATTTGAGGCTACGTCTTACACTACAGGTTTTGCTGGACAAGGCAATGCAAATGAAGTGTGAATTAGCATTTTCTCACGCTTCATTTGCATAATCTCTTCTGATCCAATTTTGCGCAAGGGGTTTTTGTGCAAAAACAAGCAATCTGGACGTTTCCTTTTTGTGCAAAAACCCCTTTTTGCACAAGATCCTTATGCCTCGAAAAAGGAGGTATACCGATCTTGTGCAAAAAGAGGTTTTTGCACAAAAAGGAAACATCCACACTGCTTGTTTTTATACAAAAGCCCCTTGCGCAAAAACGGATCGGAAAAGATTATGCAAATGAAGCATGAGAAAATGCTAATTCACACTTCATTTGCATTGCCTCTTCCGGCAAAACTCGTAGTGTAGACGTAACCTCAGTGTTTGAGACCCTCATAACTGCAGCTAAAGTTCATAGGCTGTAGATCAAATACAATGAAGTGTTAAGAAGGACTATTTAAAAACTTGTATTAAATACTGCAACTAGCCTGGTAGTTGGACCATGGTCAGACCCACCGATGAGAAGAGGAATGGACAAAGGGGACAATTGCTCCAGGGCGCAGCAATTCAAACAGACCCGGGCTCCTGACTACCATTACCGCAGCAATTGCAGCAGCCAGAGCCCTGGGTTCTTTAAATGGCCACTGGAGCTCAGCATGGCGTGCTCCAGGCAACTCTGAGGGCCTTCTGCCCCAACCCCGCCTCTTCTGCCCAAGGCCCCGCCCCTTCTGGGAGCATGGAGCCAGAGCTTTCCCACCGGCCTGGCGAGTCTGTCAGCTCACCTGACCATGGTGCATTTCTTGGCTGGTTATTCAGGAGCCACCATTGTTGGGGATGACAAGACTGATTCTCCTCTCTCTCACCTTGATTTGACCCCAGTGTCATTTACTGGGCTAAATCCTAGGCAGCTGTAACACCACTGACGTCCACAGAGCGATGCTGACGCACACCAACTGAGAGGCCAGCCACTGATTTTAATGGAGTTATTCCTAATTTGGCCCAGCGCAAGTGAGGCTATGTCTACACTACAGAGTTTTTGCACAAAAAGGTGTGTGTGGATGGGAACAGGGTTTTTTTGTGCAAAAAGAGGCAATCAAAAAAGCACAGGTGCCCTGGTGGCCATTCTGTAAATAGCAATCAGAGTTTGCTTTCGAGAGAACGTCCATGCAGTCTGGATGCTTTTGCAGTGTGGATGCACTCTTGCACAAGACGTTTTTGCAGAAGAACTCTTCTGCAGAAAGCTTCTTGCTCAAGAAGCCTGAAGTGTAGACATAGCCTCAGAAAATTAGGCTCTCGCTGTACTAATTCTGGGATTCCTAGCGTGTCAAAGATAACCTAGCTTTCTGTTGTAAAGCATTAATTCCTGGCCTTACTTGGAGTAAGAACTAAGACCGTAAAACTGAGATTGGTTCGTTATTTCACTCTGCTGCTCCCAGATTCAGTGTAATGAGGTTCCGATTTTGGATCAGCACATTGCTTGATCCTTGCAAGGTTACTTGTATCCTTTAAAAAAGGGCTTTCCCTGTCCTAAAATGTAAGAGTGACAGTCTTAAAAAACAAAAGACAGAACTTGAAAAAAAGAAAGAAACCCAGAAAATAACAGGGCACTTGGCTGTATTTTGAAACTAAACCTAATGTACAAAAAAGCCACGTTAATTGTAAACAGTCACAAGCTAGGAATACAGGAAAGGGTAATGTAAAGTCTTACCAAGATGTGAATTTCCTTTTCTGTAACTCCCAGTTACATGAGTGCAGCTACTCCCGTCCCCTTGGCAAACCCCACATTTATCCAACATGTGGGTGGAAAACAGAATCCCATCACAGCCAATTGGCTAGAAAAATGGTAAATAGAGTATTGAGGGCCAGGCAAATATTGCACCCGTTGTAATTTTCTGAATGCTGCTGACAATATTTTTGCTATAATGTTTAACAACCTCACATTTTCCAGACACGCAAACCCCTCGGAAATCGGTGTATTTGCAGGAGGTTCCATCCCGAGCCTGAACCATGAGCTGTCTCTGACCATCCACCGTGGTGCAATGCAGGTCGCAGGGCTTGCTAGAAATGTGAACATAGTCATCTAAGGGGAAAGGACAGAAACAGATTCAAAACAGAAAAAACACAATCGCTCATCTTCCCGACTCAATGCTTGTCTGTCAAGCTGAATCACAACAGCAATGAGACGATGCATTGCACGGCGAGCGGACATTTCAGGAGCTGCCACCTCCAAGGGTTGGAAACTAGATTGGAGATCACAGTTCTCATAGCATGATAGGCACAGCATTGCAAATCCGCGCACTGGTAAGTTGTCCTTACCTCCTGCAAGTCATTCCGCATGCTAATGTTATCCATTATATACACAACATGGCTGAGACTTTGCAAAGCTGCCAAGCAGATGGGCATCTCCAAGGCAGCTTTAAAAAATGTAGGTATGTATAAGCTATTGAGCCATAGAGCTAACACCAGTCTCTGGGATTACTTGCAGGAGCGAGGATTACTCACCTATATAGGGAGCTGCAGTTTATATAATCCAAACATGCATACCTGAATATTTCTATATTTGATATATAGCTTTGTTATACATACACAGATTGAACCTCTCTAGTTCAGCACTCTCTGGTCTGGCAACATCCATTGTCTGGCTTGATTTTAGTTAGCCGGCTGTCCACTTATTATGGGTGTGGCCAAGAGCTCTGCAATCCCATAAAGTCTGTGTACAGCCACCACCAGTGCTGGCTCTCAGTGTTCTGTGCTGTTATTTAGCTCTAATTTACCCCAAAATGTCTTCTAAGCAGTGGAAGTCTTGGCAATGCTGCTAGACAATACTGATCTTTGGTTCGGCAAAATTTGGTTTGGTAAATTCTCTGGTTTGGCACCAGTCAGGTCCCGAGAGTGCCAGACTAGAGAGAAAAGACAAGACTATGCAGCACTTTAAAGACTAACAAGATGGTTTATTAGGTGATGAGCTTTTGTGGGCCAGACCCACTTCCTCAGATCAAATTGTGGAAGAAAATTGGCATGACCATACAGAGGTTCAACCTGTACATGTAAAAATGACATATTAATATATACTTTTATATTATGGAGATTAACCAAGTAAATTAATACAGAGCTAAAATAAGCTTTACCGCTGTATGTGGACAAGCACTGCAAATGCTTTGACAAGCATCGGTTTGAATTGGTTCATGAGCTCACTTGCATTGTGTGCGCCCCCTGCAGCATTTGCTTGCTGCACATATTCAGATGACTGAATCCACTGACAGTAACGTTCACTGAAACAGTGAATTTTAAGTGGATAGTGCAGAATATTCACAGAAAGCAAATTGCAAATTCATATTGGCTCCAGAAGCCCGATCCTGAGAGTTACACCCAACTAGTCAGGGAACAGAAATATACCCGCTGATCTTTATGTCCCATTAAAACAGCGTGACATTCAAAACATCCTTTTCAGACTCTCCCAAGGAGCTGCTTCCACACCCGCTACCATTCAAGAATCCTTCACAGAAACTATCCAGTGAATAATTTCCAGAAGTAAATAGGGTTGTGGAAATTACCTCCTGGCCACAGGAAAGAGTCAATATTGGCCAAAGAAATTATTGATTATGAATCATTCACCTTCACATCACAGGCCAAATTAAGGCCTGACCTGAGCAGGGGCTTGGGTGCAGCATGGACTTGTATCACTGCAGGAGGGGCAAAGAGAAGGCATGAGGCACAACTGATCCCTGGCATTTTGCAGGCTGCAAAATGATGCATCGTGCACCCCTCCTAATGTAAAAGGATGGGCAGGTTCCCGGCTCCACCTTCTCCCTGCCTCTGCGAGCAGTTGTAATGCTCCCCTGAATGTCCCTGGCTCTTACCATGTGACCCAAAGGTTTTCCTTGAGACCCCAGACACAGCCCACTTATGATGGGGAAATTTTTCATAAACGCCTTGGGACCCAAACTCCCATTTTCAAAAGCGATTTAGGCCCCCTCTTGTGAAAGAACAGGTTGGGTTAGATAGCATGAGCTTCTACATCTGTGGTCCAGCATCCCCGTGGGTGATCCCAGACTGGAACGCTCATGGGACAAAGCGGGCCTGCATTCAACAGCTCCTCCCTGACTCTCCCAGAGCACTGCAAATAGCTCACTTGCAGCGCCCAAGCTCAGGGAAAGAAGGGGAGGAGTGGGGATGGCGGGACACTTGGGCTATGTCTAGACTGCAGGCTTCTTTCGAAAGATCGCGTCTAGACTGCAGGCGGATCTTTCGATAGAGGAAATCCGCTTTTTCGAAAGAGAGCACCCAGCGAGTCTGGATGCTCTCTTTCGAAGACGGCCTCTTTACATTGTAGAACGCCTTCTTTCGAAAGAGGAACTTTCGAAAGAAGGCGTTCTTCCTCGTGAAACGAGGTTTACCGCCATCGAAAGAAAAGCCGCGTTCTTTCGAAATAATTTCGAAAGAACGCGGCTTGAGTCTGGACGCAGGGGAAGTTTTTTCGGGAAAAGGCTACTTTTCCCGAAAAAACCCCTGAGTCTGGACACGGCCTTGGAGAAAGAGGCAGAGTGACTATGTAGCCCTGTAGGGTTGCTTTCCTGGCCTCTGGCCATAGGGCTCCACAACTACCCTGCCTCTTTCCCCGAGCATCGACGCCAGTGCCTGCTCTGTCAATGCTGGCCCCGGAGCTGGCAGCAACAGAAGGGCTGGCATTGACCTCCCATGGTCTGGCAGATTCTCTGGATGGGGAGCTGTTAGGTCCTGAGGGTGCCAGAGCAGGGAGGTACAACCCGTATTTAGGTGTTAGCTGTGTTCAGTATTGCAACGTCTGGTTGATTTAGGAGCCTGCCTCTTCCTTTGAAAATGAGATTTAGATCCCCACATCAGTCAGGAAACGCAATTTTAAGTGCCACAGCAACAAAATACCTTTGAAAATCTGAGCCTTCGGCTCTCCAGGCCAGAGTGTCAGCTTTGAAAATGATTGTTATCTGGGCAGATACAGATAGGGGCTCAGTGGAATTTTCAAAAGTACCTAACTCTCTGCTGTCCATGGGAGTCAATGACTAGGTGCTTTTGAAAATCTCACTCAGTCCTATCTGGAGTTTCCTAAATCTCTTTAAAAATCTGGTCCTTAGGAGCCAAAGTCTGATAGAAAAATCAGTAAGTAAGTTGCCTGCCTCATTTCTGAAAATGGGGTGTAGGCTCCAAGGTCACATTGTCAATTTACAAAGTTTTACTCTATGTAGCCATTGAATTGACGCGTTTCATTTCGATGACCCTCAACAAAACTAAGAACTATTTACAGAGGTGATGTGTGAGGATGTTATCAAATGTCACTGAAATGAAATGGGTCGGTCCCATGGCCATGCTGCACTCTTCAGAGGACATTTTGTTTGGGCAAAGCTGCTCCTAATTGCTGAAACAGTCCATCTCTCCATGTTATCTTGTCTGTTAGATCTTAACACGCAAGCCTGCTAGTCTAGAGTCACTGAAGTCAATGGGAGTTTTGGCCAAGAGAGGACTGTAGGATCCAAAGTGTGAGCTAATTTGTCATTTTTTTTCAGTGCTTTGTGACTGCAGAATGCTTCTTTGCGCCTGGGCAGAGGTTGTCCCTGAGTCTTCCTGAAGTACATAGCATCATAACTATCAAAATATTTTGGTTAAGCGTTATAGAGCACACAAAGAATGTCTTGTTACCAGGATATAAAGGTTTCCATTGATACGTTCTTCCGTTATACACATGGGAGTTAAAAGATGAGCACTGTTCCTCTCGAAAGCTCCTTCCGGTCGGAGGGCACTCCTAAAATGGGATACATTAATATCTCGATGAAAACAAAATGCAGGAAAGGATTTGGTGGACCTCAACTGGTCCCTTCTACAATTATCCTGCTCCAGTCCCTGGGGCCTGGCTGCCACCTGTCTCTCAAAGGGGCTAATAGTGCAAAGTGCGGAGTGCCGTCTGCACAGTAGCTCAGCCCCTTCTGCACCTACTGGAATTGTCATCAGAGCATCCGACACACAGCGATGCAGGCGCAGCTTGAAACTTTCTCGAGGACCCCACCACACAGGTAGAGGGGCAGTTCCACCAACCAAAATCCCCACTTCTGGGGTGCAGCTGCAACCACCAACCCGGGGCTATAGCTGGCTACAACGCTGAGCTGGGTTCTGTTTCCAGTTCTTCTACAGGCTTACTCTGCGAATGAGGCCAAGTTACTTCATCTTTGTGTGTCTCAATCCCCTGTCTGTCAAATGAGGGTCAGTCCTGCTTCCCTCCCACAAAGGGGTCCTGTGAGGTGCTGCAATTAGGGAAGTGAATGGATAAACGTGTAACCTTACTGGGTGATGCTTATGCTAATTGGTTAATAGGAGTCCGGGAGCAGACCTTCACCCTCCCGCTGCAGCCTGCTGCAGGTGAAGGGCTGCTCCAGCTCCGTTGGTCCCACCATGGGGCAGGCCAGCAGCCCTCCTGGCTGGAGGCTGCTCCAGCCGGGCTGTGGGAGCCCCACCCACCCACGGGATCCACTTAATCGGTTAACCAGTTAAACTAAACATTTAACTGGTTAACTGACTAAACAGGATTTTATATCTATTTAGACACTGAGGCTACGTCTCCACAGCAAGGCTTTTGCGCAAAAACAGTTCACACCACAAGCACGCTTTGGCGCAAGTCAATCAACAGTAAAACGGCGGAACAGAGGGCATAACTCCTTTTTGCGCTACAGCTGTTGCACAAAAAGGCATGTGTGGATGCTCCGCAGGGGTTTCTTGCCCAAAAAGAGCCTACCCGAAAAAACACAGCTGCTCTCAGAGCTTTCTTGCGCAAGAGCATCCATGCAGTGTGGAGGTTCTCTTGCACAAAAGCGCATCGCAAAAGCAATGTGCTTTGAGGTGCGGACGTTTTTGCACAAGAAATCTTCCTCAAAAGACTTCTCGTGCAAAAACCCTGCAGTGTAGACGTAGCCTTAGAACCCTGCGCAGATATATAAATGTGGGTCTGCATCCGATCCACAATCCGCTCCAGGCCTTTCTGTGGATCCGCACCCACATCACGGCAGCAGCAAGCGGGGTCATGGTGACTCCCTCTCGGGAGGAGCATTGGTGTGGGTGAGTCCTAGGGGTGCTTGTCTCTCTCTCCCTTGCCTGGTGCTCCAACTGGGGAGTGGAGTTGGAGGCTCCTGTGGAGGAACATGGTTGGGGCAGGTTGCTTGTCCCAGTGCCCAGTAGGAGTGCCTGGCAGGTCAGAGCAGGAGAAACCAGGGGACTGACAGAACTGCCTGGCCCCTGAGCAAGAGGGGGCAGCTCCACACTCCTGGAAGGGATGGGGCCTTGGGGCAGCCAGCCATCAGCGCTGTCCAGAGTGTGCCACGCCCCCCTTTCTCCTCCTGTCAGCCCCCAGAGCTGCCTGGAGCGTGCCTCACAGCATTCCAGCGGTGATTTAAAGCCCAGGGATCCAGCTGCCACTGCCGCTATGGTAACAGTGGCGGCTAGGAGCCCTGGGCCCGTTTGAGTCACTGGGCCCCAGGACAAACATTCTGCCTCAATCCTGCTCCTCCATGGGAGCACCCCAACCCCGCTCCGCAGTAAAAACTAGGCAGGGTGGAGTGGGACAAGCACCCATGTAGAGCCCTTTTTGTAATATCCACATCTACTCCAATATCCATAAAGATTAATCACAGATATCGTCGGATTCGCGGGGCTCTACAGATGCTGCAGTGATGGAAGCCACGGAAAAGCCAACAATCAAAATGCAGTCACTTGGTTTTGGACAAGATGAACATCTCTCAGTTTCCCCTCTAACTAGCTCTGCAGAAATGCTGCTGTATTAAAGGACCATGATTAGTAATATAACATTTGGAACATTCCCCATGAGAAAAGGATATTCTTACTTGTACTTTGCAGAGCTGATATCTTTTGGATGTCCCAGTGCAAGTTTTATTAGCAAGCCCACTCAATGACTTTCTTCTGAATAAAGAAACGATCGTTAGACGTGAAGTTCGAATTTTTGACAAATAAAATCTACATTCCCTGTTTTTTGTAAGGGTTCCCGCTAATAGGGACAATTCCTTAAACCAGGACCCTACTGCAGTCAATGGCAAAGGTTGACTTGACTTGACTTACTATAATTGCTTAGTGATAGAAATGTAGCCGTGTTAGTCTGGGGTAGCTGAAGCAAAATGCAGGACAATGTAGCACTTTAAAGACTAACAAGATGGTTTATTAGATGATGAGCTTTCGTGGGCCAGACCCACTTCCTCAGATCAAATAGTGGAAAAATCTGATTTGATCTGAGGAAGTGGGTCTGGCCCATGAAAGCTCATCACCTAATAAACCATTGTATAATTGCTTAGTAAGTTTATTACAGTGGCACCAGCCCCACTGTGTTGGGTGCTATGAACACTTACTACTAAGGCAGTCCTCACCCCAAAGGCAGACTTGCTCAGTGGGTGTAAGAGCAGGCTTCTATTGAATTATTAAGTTATAGTTCAAGCCACCACTGATTTTTTGTCAATTACTCTAGACATGAAATGTGGTTTAATACGTACACGAGTAATGTGAAATGGGATAGATAGCTAGCTAGATAGATAGATAGATAGATAGATAGATCTTTTTCTGGGTTATACGCTTTAGTCAAGTACAGTCATTGAGTACATACAGGAATAACTTCAGGAAATTCCATGACTTGTGTTATCCAGGAGGTGAGACTAAATCATGTAATGGTCCCTTCTGTCTCTAAACTCTATAACAGTGGTCCCCAATGTTTTGGGGCTGCCAGGCGCCTGGAGGTGGGGCCACTCACAGGCCACGTGTCTGGGGGCAGGGCCAAGCATGCGCCGCACGCCCGAGGTCGGCACCAGCATGTGCCGTGATCCCGGGCAGGGGCTGCCCAGGTTCTGCGCGGCGCCCCCGGGGTCCGGCAAGGGCACACGCGGCCCCCCCGGGGGCGGGGCCAGGGCC